CCAATATTTGAGGGGCTGCCACAGAGAGGAGGAAGGGGGTCCAGCTATTCTCCAAGGCACCTGAAGGCCAGACAAGGAACAATGGATCAAAGGAGAGATTCAACCTGGAAATAAGGAGAAACTTTCTGACAGGGAGAGGAATCAACCCATGGAACAGAAGTTGCCCTTGGAAGTTGTGGGAGCTTCATCCCTGGAGGCTTTCGAGAAGGGACTGGGCTGCCACCTGTCAGAAATGGTGTAGTAGGGTCTCCTGCGTGGGGTGGAGGGTTGGACTAGATGACCTACAAGGTCCCTTCCAACTCTGTTAATCTGTTAATTTAAAATGGAAACCTCCAGGTTGTGGGGGGTGTCCTGGATGACATCAAGGGTCCCTTCTCATTTGAGGCTAGAGCATCTCCTGATGCTCATATGGTTGCTCCGTATCCACTGCAGAGAACCAGGATGGATGCTGCAGCCAAATTCTCCTCGTTGCTCACGTGTCCCCATGTGGGGCTGATGTCCGGAGACAGGCCAGCTGTTCTTCTCAGGAGGAAGGGAGAAGTTGGGAGGAGGGGGTAAAACTGCCCCCTCCCCCTCCCGAATGCAGCAAGGTCCCCCTGAGACTCCGGTCCCCGAGGAGCTCCAGAGACAACAGCCGCGGGTGTTGCAGGCGCCCTGGGCAAACCCGTTCCAATTTGGATATTGCAGGTGTGTGACACAACAGCCGCACAAGAGGATTCCCCAGTGGGTGGGTAACTGGGTGAAGCCCCCCCCCGCCCCGCCCGAGGCTGGTGGCTGTGCCTACCGCTTTGCCTTGGAAGGGAGAGGGGTGTGAGGAGCCTGGCCCATGCCGCTCCCCCCCTTGAGGGAGCCCTGCTCCAGCAGGCCCCCTTCTGCACTGGAGGGGCTGCCCCTTTGGAGCCTTCCTGAGGGCTAGGAGCCCCGGCAGAGCCCAGCTTGTGCAGGCAAGAGAGGCTCTTGCCAACCCTGGCGCATCTCCGTCTGGGCACCTCTGTCTTGCTCCACCTCCAGGGAGGCTGAGGAGATGGTGCCAGGGATCAGGAGGTGCCCTCTGGTTGGGGAGCTCTCTCTCTCGTGCCAGCGCTGGGATTGCCCGGATGGCTGGCGACCCAGAGCCGGGTTCTTAGAAGGAGTCGGGGGGGTGGGGGTGCGGCTGCTTCCTTCCCAGAAGGAATTCATCCAAGCCCCGGAGGCTCAAGGGGAAGAAAAGCCCCTTGGGGTGAGGAGCGACTTGCAAGCCAAGGAGCGGGTCTGCAGGGGGAGGCCACAGCTTGCAGGGAACCGGAGGCCTCCTGCTTGAGCAGGGGTTGGGCTAGAAGACCTCCCAGGTCCCGTCCGTTATTCTGTTCTATTCTTCTTCCTGGAGGACTGCCAGGCCGTGCACGGGGTTTATTGGCCCTGTTTGGCAGGCTCGGAGGGGCTCCCACCAGCAGGCAGCTGTTTTGGAGTCCAGCAGTGGGTGGGTGAGGGTGCGCTGCCATCCACAGCAACCTGGTGCAATTCTGCCCCCCACCAAGCCCCCCTGCATTTGGCTCTGCCTGCCACAGATGCAGAATAGAATAGAATAGAATAGAATAGAATAGAATAGAATAGAATTAAATTATTTATTGGCCAAGTGGGATTGGACACTCAAGGAATTTGTCTTGGTGCAAATGCTCTCAGTGTACATAAAAGAAAAGAGACATTCGTCAAGAGTCAAGAATCATAACATACAACACTTAATGAGAGTCAGAGGGTACAATCAACAATCAAATCATACTAGGAAACAGTCAATATAAATCGTACGAATACAAGCGACAAAGTTACAGTCCTACAATCACAAGTGGGAGGGGATGGGCGATAAGGAGTGATGAGAAGATTAATAGTGATAGAAGTGGAGACTTTGTAAATAGTTGAACAGTGTTGAGGGAATTATTTGTTTAGCAGAGGGATGGCGTTTGGGAAAAAAACCTGTCCTTGTGTCTAGTTGTTCTGGTGTGCAGGGCTCTATAGCCTCGTTTTGAGGGTAGGAGTTGACACAGTTTATGTCCGGGATGTGAGGGGTCTGTAGATATTTTCACAGCCCTCTTTTTGACTGCAGGATACAGGTCCTCCATGGAAGGCAAGTGGATAGTAAAAATTTTTTCTGCAGTCCTACTCAGTGCAGGCAAGGCCCCTGGGAGGGTGTGTGTGTCTGTGTGTCCATGGAGACAGGCGACCACTTGCAGCGGCTTCCACGACCTCTGGGGTGGCCAACAGCCCTGCTTCCTCCGAATCTGCTGAGGTCAGCTTGGCTCTGCAGAAGGTCCTGCTGCTTCCTCCTCGGAGCCGGCCGGCCACTCAGCCCCAAAGAAGCCCAGCCTGCCTTCTGCCCACAGCCCTGCCTTCGGTCTCCATTTCCCAGCGGGGTCGAATATTCACAGGGAAGCTATTTTAACCAAAAGGCAGGATAGGTGTGCCGTAATAACAACCATGCAGCCCAGTGTGGTTATGCTGGGATGGCCACAGATTACAGGGAAGCTTCCTGAAAATAAAAGCACCCCTGGGGAAGCCAAAGTGGCTCCCCGGGCACAGAGAGCCGAGAGCCGCGAAGGGTCCCTGGGGAAGGCTGGCACGGCGGAGGGATGGCTCTCTGGCAGGACCCAGCTGGCCAGGCCTGGCATCCTGGGAGGTGCAGGGAAAATGCTGGAAAGCGAGGCTGATCCGGGGAGGCAATCCGCGGCCTACAACATTTAGTGACCGTCCAACGTCACCACAGCACTGGAAAAGGGACTCGGGGCTGTTTTCCACACACCCCTCGTAGCAGCCTCCCCGAGGCCACACGGCCAGATTTCAGGCACCTGGCAGCTGACTCATATTGACGACAGTCGCAGTGTCCCAGGATCAATGGGGGAATCCAGGTTCACCTAACAACCATGTTAGTAACTTAATAACTGCAATGATTCACTTAGCAACAGTGGCCAGAAAGGGGGCAAGGGGGCAACACTTGCTTTAAAAATGTCTCACTTCGCAATACAAATCTGTGGTCGTAAGTCAAGGACTGGCTGTAGCTCCCACTGTAGGTTGCTGGGGATGAGGGTGAAGGGAGTCTGCTGTCCCAGCCAGTCTATGGGATTTGGGATGGTTAGTTAGGAATTATGAGCTGTCCCCTTTAAGGGAAGGCATCGTGGTAAATGTTGTGAAAGGTATCCTGGGAAATGTGGTTCGTGTCATGTGGCCACATCTACAATCCCGACTGGTCACTAGTTTGATCCTTGATGGGTCGGGGGGTGTTTCCCTCACCTTTGTCTGAATTCACGAACTCATGGCAGCTTCTTTCTATCGCTACGAGATGGGTTAGGAGATCACCATCTTTTACCTACAAGGCAGTTATGCAAAGGATTGGCCACTAAAGAAGAACTTCATCGCAAATGTGAGTTATGAGGATACCTGATGAACCAATAAATGTACTTTGTTGAGTTTATCTCTCTGCATCTGCACGGCTTACACATCCACCTCTGTGCAGAAGGCAGAAAAGGGGCCCCTCCCTCTGCTCATCCAAAGGAGAAGTGACGGCTCCCCTGAAGTCTGAGCGGCTATCACCACACGGCCCCTTCCTCTGCTCTGAAGACCAGCTAGCCCTCCGCTGCCAGGCAGGTGCAGGATTTCGAATCCCTTGCAGGGGGTGGAAGCAAGCAGAGCCCCGTCTCCCTCCCTCCCTCCCACCCCCCAGCCTATTTCTCTGGAAATGTCCTTAGTGCTGGGGGGGGGGAGCAGGAGATCCTCTGGGTCCCCCCTATCCTGTGGCTGCTGAGCGTCCTCGGGACGAAGAGGAAACCACCCGGCTCAGAACTGCTGACTGGCAGAATTGGGAAGAGGAAGTCGCTGAGGGAGAAAGCAGATGAAGATCCTCCTCCAGCCATGGAGGCCCCCCCCCCCCCAGTTGCAGAGGGTAAAATGGGGGAAGGGCTGCCCCTGCTTTGGGCCTAGAGAAAGGGAGAGACATGAAGGCCTGGGAGGGGGGAGAATCTCTGGCCGGGCTCCCCCCCACTCCCTTGATGTGTCTTTCAAACGACTGGGATATGGGGGCGGGGGGGCTTTGACTAGGCTTTCATCCTCCCCACAGCACACAGAGTCCTTGGCTCAGGCTACCAGCCCCCCCCACCCCCAAGTTCCATCCAAGCAGCTGACAAAACACAGAGGCTTCTAGCAATAGACTCCTAGCAGGTGGGGAGGGTGGGGCACCATCCTGGTTTTCCTGCGCAAAGACACCCCCCAGCCCCCCCACCCCCGCAGGAAAGTGACTCTCTGGAGACAGGATATGGAGCCCGTTTCCTGGGGAGATCAAGGCTCTTGCCAAGCCTGCAGCCAAGGGGGTGCAGGGCCCCTCGAAAGGAGTGGAAGCCCCCCTCCCAATGGACAGTTGGGCTCCCCCTGACTCTGGAGGGGTGCAGCGCCTCTCCTCCACGGGGAACAGGGGCGATGAGCTGCTGGGCCTCGCACGTGGTTACGGCACAGCCCAATCGAGGCTGCTCCCTCTCAGCTCCCTTCCCCGGAGGGCAGCCGGCGCCGGGCAGGGCAATCCTGCCAGGTCGCCCCGGCCCGGCCCGCAGGGCGCAGGAGGCATCCGGCTTGGCCGCCCAAGTGGAGATGCCCTGGTCTGCCCCTCCCTCCCTCCCTCCCTCCCCAGCCACAGGACGGGGCGGAATCAATCCCACCGCGATCCCCTCGCCGGGACCCCCCTTTGGGGTGGGAGAGGCCAGGGCTGCCAGGGCGCCCCCTTCCCTGCCGGTTCCTGAGCGCCACGAGGTTGCCTGCCTGCGCCTGCCTGCCTGCCCGCCCGACCGCCCCTCCCCGCCCCGTGGCTGCCGCCCGCGCTTTCCCCGTGCCAAGGTCGCCCCTGTGGCGGAGAGGCGCCGCGGCTGCCCGCCCTTCCCGGAGCGGCCGAGCCCCGGCATCCCGGCTAGCGGCGAGGAAGCGGCCGGGCGCCGTCGGACTCTCCCTCTCCCCCACCCCCCGGGGAGGGGCGGGCTCCGGAAAGCCGCCGGGAGGGAGTATAAAGGCGGCTGGGAGAGCGCGAGGGGCCGCAGAAGAGAAAGCGGGAATGCCGGCAAGTGGGGCGGGCAGGAGGCGAAGGCGCCTCTGGAGGGCGGCGGCGGCGGCGGGGGGGCTTTTCATCGCACCCCCCGCCCCAATTCCCGGGACCAGCCCTGGCCGGGAGAGGCGTTCGGCGCTCGGCATCTGCCCCTTGGGCGCAGCGCTGCTGGAGCGGCCACCGGCTCCCGCGCGGCCCTGGGCGCCGAGCGCGTTTTCCGGGCCGGGGAGCCGCGGAGGGCAAGTCGCCTTCCACACTTGGGACCCCGCCGGAGAAACTTCGCCGCCTCTCGGCTGTTCTCCGGGAGAGCGGCCGCCAAACCGCGGCTGCCGGGCAGGGACGCTGAGGCGGGCAGGCGGGCTCCGAACTCCGAGAAGCGGCTGCCTGGGACCCTCCCCCCCCACCCCGAGTCCCGCCCTTCCCCTTTCCCGGCGGACGGGAGCTGCGCGCTGCTGAGCCCCCTTCGGGCCGGGCAGCGCCTGGATGGGCGCGCCTCGTGGGCGACTCCTCCCGGGTGTCCGCGGCCTTTCGGGGCGGAGAGTCGGACTGGCTGGGGGCTCGCTTGGCTTCCAGGGCGGTGCTAGCCGGAGCGCGGCCCATGCTTTCTCCGGGGTCCCGAGCGGCGGAAGGGCGCGAAAGACGCGCGCTGGGAAGGGAGAAGCCCCTGGTCTCCCGTCCCCTCTCCGTGCCCGGGGCCATCTCGGAGAACCCGGCGGGGAGCCTCGGCTGCCCTCCCGCCTGGTCTCTGCCCACGGACTCCCTTAAGGCGGTGGAAAGCAAATAGGGGCCAGGGCCGGATCTCCCTAGAGCTCCAGCAGAGAGACCCCCACCTGTGGCCTCACCTGCCCGGGGCTCCCTTTAAAGTCCCGTGATGGTGCCTTTCTCGGCCTGCCTATCATCTCTCCCTCCATCTCTCGGTCATCTATCATCTCTCTTCCATCCCTGTCATTCATTCATTCATTCATTCATTCAGCTTAGTATGTTGCCTAGGTCCCCTGGAGGCGGCCTTCCCTTGCGGGCCTAAGAGAGCTGCCTGCCCAGGTGCCTAAGGGGGGCTTGGCGGATCCTCTCAGGACTGGGCCAGCCCGAGGGGAGCCCCCTGCGCACACCCCCCTCCAGGGACTGACCTCTTGCCCCTTGCAGGAAAGAGCTGCCATGCCTCTGCATTGCCTCCTGTTGCTGCTGGCCTGCTGGGGCGCAGCCTCCGTGGCCGCCCAACCCCCTGCCTGCAAGATGAGGATCACGGACAAGGGCCTGGCGCTGGGTAAGTGGCGGGGGAGGGGAGAGTCCAGGCTTTGGGAGGCATCCCCTTCTGGCTCCAGCAGGGGGAACCCCCATTTCCCCCCTGCCTGTGGGGCTGGCACTGCAGGGAAGCCTGGCGGCCTGACTTCCCCACAGCCGCCGGGCTGGTCTTTGGGGCTCCTTGCCAGCAGAGGCGCTGGGGGTGATGCCTCTGGGGGTCTCTTGCAGTGAAGCAGGAGGGGCTGCGCTTCGTGGAGCAGGAGCTGGAGAACATCTCGATCCCCGACCTGCAGGGCAAGCACAGCAAGTTCCACTACAACATCAGCAAGTGAGTTGGCTGGGCCGGCCGCTTACAGGCCTCAGGCGCCTCCCCAGAGCCCCCCCTCCCCTCTGCCCGCCTGGCCTGGACCCCTGAGCTGGCCGTTCACCCCGCCATCGTGTAGGAGCCAAGTGTGGGAAAGGCCTTGGGGGATGGAGGGACGAGTTGCAGCCGGGGAGATGGTCAGAGAAGAGGCAGGTGAGCCTGCAGGAGGAACGGGGACCTCGCCAAGGAAAGATTCAACCTGGAAGTAAGGAGACAGGGAGAGCCACCGACCCGTGGAACAGGAGCTGCCCTCGGAAGTTGTGGGAGCTTCATCCCTGGAGGCTTCCAAGAAGAGGCTGGACTGCCATCTCTGTCAGAAATGGTGTTGGGCAGGGGGTTGGACTGGATGACCTCCAAGGTCCCTTCCAACTCTGTTATTCTGTTCTGTTCTTGGGCTGCCTAGGCGAGGAGGGAGAAGCCCCCTTCCATCCCTGCAAGTTTCGGCTAGTGTCGCCTCTCCATCCCTCAAGTTCAGAGGGGGGGCTTTGGGGTCTGCTCCTTGGCTGGACCGTCTCCCAGGGCTGGCATCCCTCTTTGCAAGCCTTCTGCAGGCAGTCCCTGACTTACAATTGAGTGACTCTTCTAAGTTACAAGGGCACTGAACAAAAGCGACTTAGGACTGTTTCTCACATTTACGACCTTTGCAACTTCCCAAGGTCACCAGGTTTACATTCAGAGGCTTGGTAACTGACTCGTATTTATGACAGTTTTTCTGACAAGCAAAGTCCATCGGGAAGCCAGATTTGCTTAATGACCATCTTATGATTCACTTAACAACTGTGGCAAGGAAGGTTGTTAAATGGGACCAAATTCGCTTAACCAGTGTCTCACTCAGCAACAGTAATTTTGGGCTCACGTGTGGCTGTAAGTCAAGGACTCGCTCTCCTCTCTTCTGAGAGAGGCAGAAGAAGACCCGCCTCTGAATTTTCGCAAGGGCCTCCCACCCCCAAGGGACACCTCTGTCCCTCGAGTGCCTAGTGGTTGCAACACCAGCCGCAGGTAGATATGCCCAGGGGAGCAAAGGCGGTGATCCATTCTGCCCACGGGGGGAAACCGAGGCAACCACTGGGGCGGAATTCGCCACCACAGCCCGGCAGCCTCCATGGCCCTTCTCGTGTCCCCTCCCAGGGACTATGTGGAGCAGCACCAACGCATCCTCACACCCCAGGTGTATTTGTGTTAAGCATAGCTGGTGGGCAAATCCTTTTTGTGACTGGGCTGGTTGTGGCGAGGTGATCAACCTGAGTTAAGGCGTTAATGCAGACATAGGTGTGTGTATGTGTAATTGTTTATTTATTATTATTTATTTAGTTTAGTTTGTCAAGCATGTATGAGAAAACAAGTATAAGTACGAACATGACATATAAACATAGAAGTATAAACAGGTATAAGTATATATATAATAAATGAGTACGAATAAATGGGAAGAGTGGGACAGGGGCGGTAGGCACACTGGTGCGCTTATGCACATTCCCCTGCAGGCCTCTTAGGAACAGAGTGAGGTCCACAGTAGACAGTTTAAGGTTAAAGTTTTGGGGTTTTTAGGATGTAACAACATTGTTCTGGCCCACACCCTTTTCCAACAAATCAAACACAATCCAAAAGGAACAGAAACCTTGTAATGCTTTTACAAAACAATTAGCTGTGATAAGCACAAGCCTTGCCAAAAGATAACGGACAAGAAATAATTTGCAATACAAGAATCTTCAAATACAAACTCAGGATACTGGAATGTCCACGAGGCTGGAGTTTCAAAACGTCTTTGCCTTCTGCAAAGAACTTTCGTTTCACAGCTGGCTTTTATCTTCTTGAAGGAGGGGCCATTACCTTGCAGCCTTACTCCCAAGTCGCCCATGCTGTTGTAGCTGCTCTTTCTTCCAAGCAATCCTGTGCGCACGCGCACTTGGCACAGGCTCCTTGGGAACCTCCTCATTGCTGCTGCCAACCCCCACAATCTTTGAAGGCAGCAGTCCACTCCCTAATGGTCCTGGCCCCTCATCTGAGTCCTTGCTCTCCTCAGCCATCCACACCTGCTGCTGGCTAACCACAACAGGTAGTGAGTTCCAGGCACTGACTCTGTTGCTGAAGTCGTATTTTCTGTAATAGAGTTTGGAGTGGTTTACTTTGAGTCTGTATCTATTGTTTGCTGCGTGTTATGGTGGTTGAAACTGAAGTAGTCATTGACAGGTAGGATGTTGTAGCACACACATGTTTCTGACATCCTGCCCTCCTCAAAAATTTGATAAATCCACCTGGAAAACATAAGACATGTGTTACATTTACAATTTAGGATGGTTTGTGAAGGTATTTCAGGTGGATCTTCCGTAGTAATGTGGGTGCTTTTACATGTCTTTTGGCTACCGGCTCATTTTCTGAGGAAGGAAGGTGTTTCTAAGCTACTAAATATTGTGTGGATCCACGGTGAGTGCGCAAATCAAGGATATCTTTAATTTCAAAATGTTGTTCCCCACGTACCATAATGGGAGTTGGAGGTGTGGGAAGGGGGGGGGGCAGGTCGAAGGTTTGAGGTGATCTCTGGTTTGAGTAGGCTGCAGTGAAATACTGGATGAACGTGTCTAAGTGTTTTGGGAAGTAGAAGCTCTACCGTAACAGGGTTAATAATTCCAGAGACGGGAAATGGCCCAATGAATTTTGGTCCCGGTTTCTTAGAGGGTTGCAACGATTTTAGGAATCTTGTGGACAAATATACGCGGTCCCCAACTTTGAATGTTTTAGGATTGCAGCATTTTTGTCCGCTTGAGCTTTAAAAGCTGCTCCAGCCTCTTGTGGGGCTAGTCTGGCTATTGGCCAAGTGGCTTGCAAGTTATTCATCCACTCCTTAAGGGAGGGAATTTCAGGTTCCTTGGTGGGTAGTTTCGGCATGGGGCTGAATTCTTGGCCTGTGGCTACCTGGAATGGGGTGAAACCAGTGCTGCTGTGGACTGAGTTGTTGTATGCTACTTCTGCGAAAGGAAGGAGGTCAGTCCAATTGTCCTGTTGGTAATTAATAAAGCATCTTAAATATTGTTCTAATACGCTGTTCGATCTCTCAGCCCTGCCGTTAGTCTGGGGGTGATTGGATGATGACAAGCCCTGGGTGGAGCCCAATAGGTTTAAAAATGCCCAGCAAAATGTGGGTGTGAATTGTACACCCCTATCTGAGATAATCCCTTGGGGAACTCCATGAGGGCAAAAAATGTATATTAAAAACATCTTTGCCAAGGCCTTGGCTGTTGGGATCTTTTGGCATGGTACAAAATGAACCTGTTTTGAAAAAAGATCAGTTACAACCCAAATGACAGTATTTCCTGCATTTTCAGGGAGCTCCACTATAAAGTCCATAGAAATCTCTTTCCAGGGTGCTGAAGGTTCTGCCACGGTTTGTAAAAGTCCAGGAGATTTTCCTTGTCCTCTTTTTGCGGCAGCACAGATGGGGCAACTAGCAACATAGCTTTCAATGTCCTTTTTGAGAGGTGGCCACCAAAATTGTCTTTTGATGAGGTGCAGGGTTTTTACAAGGCCAAAGTGCCCTGCTATTTTTGAGTCGTGGCAATGTTTCATGAGGTCCAATCTTTGGCTGGCAGGGACGTAAAGTTTGTTTCCTACCACCCAGGCCAGTCCTTCTTTGAGTAAGCAAGTGTTTTTGTTGGCCTGGAGCCCGTCGCCCTTAAGTAGTGCCTCCTTAAATATTGACGTCGTCGTGTCTTCAGTCAGGGATTCTTTCTTCTCTTGTGCCTGGGTGATTACTTTGGCTGCAAGTCGGGTTGGTTGGATCATAACTTCAATCTTTTTGCTGTGGTATTGGGGTTTCCTGGACAGAGCATCTGCCAAGAAATTTTTCCTCCCTGGGAAATATTTGAGAGTGAAGTTTAAACTATTGAGCCCACCTTGCTTGTTTTTCTGAGAGTTTCCGTGGAGTTTTCAGGGCTTCTAGATTTTTATGATCAGTCTAGACTTCAAAGGGGATTTGGTTCCCTTCCAGGAAACGTCTCCATGTGAGGAGTGCCCACCGCACAGCATATGCCTCTTCCTCCCCTATGGCCCACCTATGTTCGGTTCCTGTCAGTTTCTTGGAAGTATAAGCACGTCCATTCTTTTGGAGTAGAATTGCTCCAACTGCTACATTGCTGGCATCTGCTTGGATGACAAAGGGTTGTTCAGGGTCTGGGTGTTTCAGGATCGGTTCTGCTGAGAACAATTGTTTAAATTTTTTGAATGCCACTTGGCATTCCATCGTCCAGGTAAGGGGTTGCCTGGGTTTGGGTTTCTCCCCCCCCCTTTCATTTTTAACAAGTTCGTGATGGGGAGGGTGATATTCGCAAAAGCTGGAATGAAGTTTGCAAAACCCAGGAAGCTTTGCAGTTGTTTGCGAAGCATGGGGCACCTCCCAATCGATGACAGCTTTTACTTTTTGTGGGTCCATCTCTATCCCCTTGTGGGATATTCTATATCCCAGGTAGTCAATTTTTTCCTGGTGGAATTCACATGTAGAGAGTTTTGCTTATAGTTTGGCATTTAGGAGTTTTGTGAGAACTGCACGAAGTAATTTGGTGCGTTCTTCTTTTGCCTCGGTGTAGATTAAAATATCATCGAGATAAACAAGAACTCCTGTGTACAAAAATTCACGGAGGGTCTCGTTAATTAATTGCATGAACACAGCAGGGGCTCTTGGTAATCCAAAAGGGAGCACTTTAAATTGGTAGCATCCCAGCGGGGTGTTAAAAGCCGTCTTCCACTCATCCCCTTCTCTTACTCTAATGCGGTAGTATGCCCCTCATAGGTCTAACTTTGAAAAAAAATTTCCTTTAGAGAGGTGGGCTAACCTGTCCTTCATGAGGGGGAGTGGGTACATATTCTCCACATTGATGGCGTTAAGGTTTTGGTAATTAACACAAAGATGCAAAGAGCCACCTTTCTTTTCGCGGAATAGTACAGGGGCTGCTATTTTTGGTCGGGTAGGTTCAATGAAACCACTTTTTAGATTTTTATCGATAAATACCCTGAGTTCTTTTAATTCTCTGGGGAACATGCAGTACATTTTCAGCTTTGGAAGTTTAGCCCCTGGTAGGATTTCAATGGTGCAGTCTGTGGTGTGATGAGGTGGGAGCTCATCAGAAGCCTCCTCGTTAAATTCTTGGGCTAAATCCTGGCATTCGTTGGGGATGTTAATGGGTTCAGCCGGCTGACCGGACATGGCCGGTTCTCTGTTCTCTGGTCCCTTTCTTTTCCTTTCCTCTGGGCAGTTTGCAAATGCTACATGTTTCTGGAAATGTACGGTTCCTCTCTTCCAGTTTATTTTTGGATTCCATTTCCATAGCCATGTGAGTCCTAGGACTAGTGGCCCTTCCATTCCTGGTGCTACCGTGAATGTGAGCATCTCACTATGGTTCCCTAGTCTTATTTTCAATGGTTCTGTGGAAAAATTGGCTGGCTCCCCCCCTCCCCCCCGCTATAGTTCCACCTAATTGGCAAAAAGCGACGGGACTTTCCATTTTCTTTAGTTGGATTCCCAATTTCTCTGCTAGGGAGGGGTTGATTGGACACTGGGTGCATCCTGAACCCAGTAACAGTGCAACTTCCTCCCCCTTCCCTCGGCTGGGGATAAACAGTCTCAGGGGTAGAGTGATCGGTTCAGTTGGGTTGCTTACCAGTGGATCGTCTTCCGGATTGCTTTTGGACTGGCTCAGGTCTCCTCGGGGCATCGGGGGTTCTTCCTCCGGTTTTTTTTTGGGGGGGTGGAACCTCACGGCTTCTCAGGCCAGTTTCTTTTCCTTGAGGGTTGGGTTTTCTAGGATTCCCCCCCCCCCCCCGATGGGTGGTCTGGCTTTCTGGCAGGGGTTTTCCAACGGCATTCTGCTGCATGGTGCCCCTCTCTTAAAGCAGCCAGCTGGTCTTGGGATCATGGTGGTTTGGGGTATGAAAAATTCCCGGTTTCCCTGGGGTGGGGATCTTCTCCAGACTTTGCCACTGCAGTACTAGTTTCGGGTCATGTCTATCTCTGCCTCCTCTGCCATCAGGTACCATTCGTGTAGTAGGTTTAGGGTCCCATGGGCCAGACAGGCAGCATACAGGTCATCATTGAGTCCATCTTTGAACCAATAGACTAGGACATCTTCTGGCCAGTCGACTCGACCAGCCAGGTCATGAAATTCCTCGGTGTACTCAGCTACCAGGCGACGGCCTTGCTTTCTGACTCTGATGCGGTCACGGGCTTTTCTATTGGCGAGGGGGTCTTCGAAGTGGTGACATAGGGCTGTCATGAATCGATCGAGGCTCCTCAGTTCTGGGGAGCTAACATTGTGGAGGGTCATCATCGATCTGGCTCCTGCCCCTTCTAGGCTCAAGGTGACAACTCGCACTCGGGCCCCCTGGGTCAGGAAATTTCGCCCATATTCTTGCATGTAGGTGAGGACTTGCGCCAGGAAAAATCCCAGTTTCTGGGGGTTCCCATCAAATTTTACCCCCAAGGGTGGGACCTTTCTCTGCAGTTGTATGTCCCTGTGTTGGGGTGGGTTAATGCCCTGCTCTGGGGCGGCAAGGGGTCGGGTACCTGGTATGGCTGCCGGTCCTCTGGCTTGTTCCATTGCTCGATCATTCTCAGCTGGATCAGGGGTGACGGCTCGGGTTCTCTCAATTTCTGGTTCACTCGCTCTCCTTCGTTGGAGACCTGGTTCATCCCGCACATCGAGGCCCTCCAGGGCTTCCCTCATGAGGCGATTTATGTACCGTTTCAGTCGATCATCTGCCAGTGGTTCCTCGACCCCTTCTTCCTGATCAGAAAGGGCCTCCGGCTCCATTTTCCACCTGGGTTTACGGTTACCCCAAGTGAGGGCTATTCCCTTGGTCCTTCTGTCCCGGCTGTCTCTCTTTCCTACGCCAACAGACTATCGGGGCTTTGTGGAATTTTCGCCGGCAGCTTCACTGTCTTTGATGGGGTACACCAAGTCAGTCTCCTCAGCATTCGGCTTCCCCTTGCTCCTTGCTATATTCAAATATTTTTGCAGGGTCCCCTCGGTAGAGTGAAGTTTTTTTTTTTTTTTAAAGTCCTCTCTAGAATTGACCTCTATTGCAGACTCTGCAATTGGACTTTTTCCCTTCAATCAAAAAGAATGAACTTCTGAAGACCAGGTGGTCCAAAAGAAATCCTTTACCGAAAGGGATTTTATCTCAACACTAGGCAAAGCAGAGTCTTAAGATATGTGCAGGCAGACAGTCCTAGATAAAAGAAGTTAAAACCCCTCCTCTCATTCAGATGTGGATTTAGTCAAACAAAGAACCCACAAGGTAATTCCCCCTCCCCCTGTCTGGGAACGTATCTTAGCGTAGTGCTCAGGAGCGTCTTCCAGGGCTGGAATTTTTATGGTTCCTCCTCATCTTGTTATCTCTTCAAGAGGTGACAAGTTTCTGGTCGTCTGGCTCCGCTCCTCCTGTTGTATACATGTGCAAGTTATACAGGATCAATACAGGATTTAATATATTCAGGTTACATCCAAAAGGATTAATTGTACCAACTCCCCCCCCTCCCCCCGCCACTTCTTCTTCCATTGAAGAATGGCAGATACACGGATCTGACAGTTTACTTTCCTGGTTCTGTGCCAGCTTATGCGAGGAAAACCACGGATTCTCGCACAGGCTTGAAAGGATCGGCCTGTCTCTGCTTGGGGCTGGGCTGGGCTGGTCGCCAGCGCAGGATTGCCACAATCACGTTGGTGTCTGTGGAAGCAGCCAATCCGAAAAGTCTTCTGGGGTCTCCAAACCCTTTGGTTTCGAAACCCCCCCACCCAGGCTCCCCACATTCCCCACCTTCCTATTTGGCTTCTCCCTCTTTGCAGTGGGCGCCACAAATGCCCCTAACTTGGTGCACGGTCTGTGCCACACCCTGGCCCACACAGGCAGAGGCAGGGCAGGGGCTGGCACTGAGGAGGGGTCAGTGGCAGCGGAAGAGGTGGGGTAGGGGGCAGTGGCCTGGCCTGGGAAGACACCCCCCCACACACCCACACCTGACCGTCTCTCCCTGCAGCGTGAAGGTGACTCACCTGCAGCTGAACTTTTCCGAGCTCCACTTCCAGCCCGAGCAGTTCCTGGCCTTCCGCATCAACAACGGCTCCATCGGGGTGAGATTCCGGCGGCAGCTGCTCTACTGGTTCTTGTGAGTGGCTCCTTCCTTCGTTGGGATCCGGGGGGTTGTGTGTTTGTGGGAAACGTTGCTATGGCTGCCCCCCACCTGCAGCAGTTCAGTGGTGGGACTCCCATCCTCCAATCAACCTCCATTCAACCATTTCTGACACCAACAACCAGGTCACCAAATGGCTCAGGAAGTTAACAGCCGCTTCTCCTGAACCGTTGCGAACCGGCTGAATCCCACCCCTGCAGTGGCTCATTTAGTGACCAGAGTTAACAACATCCCTGAAAAAAGTGACTTGTGACCGTTTTTTCACACTTATGACCATCGCAGCACGCCAGGGTCACGGGATCCAAATCCAGACGCTTGGCCACTGACTCGTATTTACGACCGTCACACTGTCCCGGAGTCACGGGATCCCCTTTGGCCACCATCTGACCAGCAAAGTCAATGGGGGAATCCAGATTTGCTTAACGACCGTGCTACTAACTTCACCACAGCAGCGATTCACTTAACAACAGTGGCTAGAAAGCTCATAATGTGAGGCAAAGCTCACTTAGCAAATGGTTCCCTTTGCCACGTTAATTTTGGACTTGATTGTGGTCACAAGTCGAGGACTCCCCGTAAGAATCCCTGGGTAACCAAAACCGAACAAAAACCCTCCTACAGACCCTATTAACACAATAAAAAACCAGCCGCTTTGAAAACAAAACCCGGGTGGCAAATCAGGCTTCCAATTATAGCCTATCCCTGTCCCCCCCCTCCCCCTCCACCAGCAGTCCTGCGTTTCGAACCCAGGGCTCTCGGCCCTGATGTGGCCACCGGCACCTTCCATCCAGTCTGCACAGGGTGGGGGGGGGGTCTCGGGGATGAACCTTTGTGAAGCCCCTTTGGGTCGGAAGACCCCTCCCGGCTCATTCAAGCGCTTGCTGCCCAGCTATGATGTCGGCTCCATCCAGACATGGGCCGAAGGGGTCAACATCCACACCCTGCTGGAGCTCTCCAGGGACGAAGGGGGGCGCCTGAAGATCACCAACATGAGCTGCAGCGCCTCCATCGCCCACATGCACGCCGGCTTCAGCGGCACCCTCCGGTAACCGTCCCTGCCCCCGCTGGGAGGGGCAGGCCCTGGCCCCTCCCTCTCCTGGGGGCCTGGGAGGAGCTTCGCGAGGGGAGGGGGAGCCTGTTTTCTCAAGGGGGGTCCCCCCTGCCTGGGAAGGACCCCAGGGTGGGCGGTGGGAATGCCAGGACCCAGGCCTGCCCAAGGGCAGCCAGCCGTGGGGGCAAAGGAGGCTGCCTTCTCCTGCCCAGGGAGCAAACTTTAAGGTCCTGATTGGCAGAAGAAGCAGGTGGGGAGGGGGGGCACTCCTAGCTCCCCCCCCTCCCTGAGGGGAGATCTTTAGCCTTGACCAGCCTTTCCTGACTCTCTCCAGAAAGGTCTATGAATTCGTGGCCAGACTGATCACCAGGGGAGTACGCTACCTGCTCAGTCAACAGGTGAGCACCAAGCCACAGGTGAGCCCTGCCGGGCAAAGACCAAGGGAACAACGCACAGGTGGGCTGGCAGGTGTGCCAGTCTCCCCTGTGCAGGGCAGGGAAACCCCGATTTTGCTTATAAACCCCTGTAATTTCCCCCCTTGCGCTCCTCTGTCCTCTCTGTGGTTCCACTGGGCTTCCAACTGCAGAGGGAACCAGAGGGAACAGACTACTGGGGCACCTGGCACTCGTAGGAGTTTGGGCCAGGCGAGGTAAAGAACCCGCTGGGACGCCCCGTCTCCGGCACTTCATAGAATCATGGGGTTGGAAGGGGCCTTGGAGGTCTTCTAGCTCAACCCCCCTTATACCTTCTTGGACAAAGGGCTGCCCACTCTTGCCCGGGAGACCCCCAGCGATGGAGCCGGGAGGGAGGCGGTTCCTTCCCTCTTCCCAGCAGCTCTGACGTCTCGCTGCCTTTCAGATCTGCCCGGCTCTCAACCATGCGGCGCTGGTGCTGCTGAACTCCCTGCTGGACACGGTGCCCAGTGAGTGGCGGGCAGCGCCCCCTTTCCCTGCCAAAGTAGGCGGAGGGAGAACTCTGCGCCCGGGGGACGCCTGGTGCTACGGGGCTCCTCCTCACTCCGTGCTCCTCTGTCTCCAGTGCGCAATCCTGTGGACGAATACGTGGGCAACGACTACTCCCTACTCAGTGACCCCCACGTCACTGCGGAGAGCATAGACCTGGATTTCAAGGTACCCACCGAGTGCCCCACACGGAGGGTGCTCCCTTATGGCAGGGGCAGGGCCTGCACAGGACGGGGCCCTGCCAGTGGTGGGCAGGTGCAGCTCCATTCGGTTGAGTGGCAGGCAGTCGTGTGCGCCTGTGACGCTCCGTCGTGTGCGCACAAGTGCTCTCCCCTTGTGTAAATGGAGTTGTGCGTGGGAGTGAGTCTGTACATCTCCCCCTCGCCCAAAACCATTTCCTCTCGCCGGCCCCCAACCGCTTGTCCATAAAGCCGGACAGTTGGGGGACCCCTGCCTTTAGGGGAGGTGGCATCCGAGAGAAACGGAGATGGGTGGATGAAATCATCCTCCGTGGCAGCCACGTGGCAGGGCCTGTGGACGAAACACCGCCCCACTCTGGGCTGCCTAAGTCATTGGTGAGATTCAAAAATGCTTACTATCAGTTCTGCGGCCGTGGCTTGGTGGGCATGGATGGCGGGTGAGGCTGGGTGGGCGTGGCAGGGGAAGGATATACTGCAAAATCCCCCTCCCCTCCCCACCGCACTGACCTGCTTTCCAGCTCCGTTCTCCTGGGCAGGGCAACCCAAGGAGACGCAGCCGATCAGCTGGGACTCGAGGGGAGGCAGAGGAGAGGCGGGGTTGGCTGGTTCTCCCAACGACTCAGAATTTCCACACCAGGTGATTCTCCAGAACCGGCTGAATCCCGCCTTCCTTCCCACAGCTCAGGGCTCTCCAACCTGGGCCTCTTGTGCACCTCCACTCAGAGCTGGCTGAGGAATTCTGGGAGTTGAAGTCCCCAAGTCTTCAAGTGGCCCAGGTTGGAGGCCCTTCCCTGAGCAAAAGCTGGGGGGTTTTGGGGGGGGGTCTTTTGTTTTGAATTGTTGGTGCCACCCTCAGCCCTGTTGGCCCATGCCGCGAGCGTGAGGAGGCCTGTCCCTGCCTCCTGAATCCCAGAGCCGCTTTCCCCGAAGGCGACTGGACTTCCTGGTCTCCCTTGGAGAAAGGCTGCCTTCTCCCCCCAGAAGCTTCCTCTGTGGCCCCTCAGTGAGAACCGAAGAAGCTTCTCGGAGGGGAAGGGAAGCGACTTCAGAGAGAAAACCAACCAAGGAGGAGGCGCCGTTGGGAAAAGCCCCTTTGGGGCCACCAGGGCCTGCCGGGTTCAGCAGCTTCGTTCCACACAATCGTCAGGCTGGAAGGGACCACAGAGGCCTTCTAGCCCAACCCTCTGCCCAAGGCATAGATCTTTGTGGAGCATCCGGGCCTGGAAATACAAGCTGTCCTCGACTTACGACCACAATGGAGCCCAAAGTTTCTACCGCTAAGTGAGACAGTCGCCAAGTGAATGTTGACCCCTTTTGCGACTTCCCTTGCCAGAGTTGCTAAGTGAATCTCTGCAGTGAGTAACCCGGTTGTTGAGTGAATCTGGCTTCCCCCCCATGGATTTGAAGGCCGCTAAGAGGATCAGGTGACCCCCAGGACACGGCAACGGGCTCAAGTACCTGCCAGTTGCCAAGCCTTTGAATTTGGATCAGCTGATCATGGGGGCTGCTCCTCAGGTCGGAAGGTTGGAAAGGCAGTCCTAGGCCTCTTCTCAGGGCCTTTGTAATGTTGAACGGTCACTAAATGAAGTTGAGAACTGCCTGTGCAGCAACCATCCACCCCCTGGGACCCCCAACCAGTTGCACCTGCAGTGTTTGCGGCCTGGCTCTGTCCCGGAGGGCGGCAATGCGGGGAGGGGGTCCATGGCCCCAAGGGCCTGCCCCAGGCCCCCTTCCCCCGGTGACGGGGCTCTTCCTGCTCCCAGGGCATGTTCTTCCCTCTGCGAAGCGAGAACGAGACGCTGCCCAACGTGGCCCCGGAGCCCCTGCTGATGGAGACGGAGCGCATGGTGTACCTGGGCCTCTCGGAGTACTTCTTCGACTCCGCCCTCTTCTCCTACTACCGGGCGGGGGCCCTGAGCATGGAGTTCGTGGGGGACAAGGTAGGCCGGGTGGGGCAGGGGTCTCTCCCAGGGGCCATGCCCGAGAGGGAGCGAAGGCTGGCAGGGGGACAGGAAGCGGCTGCCTTGCCCATCGCCTGCCCCTCATATGCGCCCCCCCCGTGCCCCCCTCGTTACAGGTGCCCAAAGATTTGGAAGTTTTGCTGAGAGCCTCTTTCTTCGGAACCCTCCTCCTGTTGGTAAGAGGTTGGGGGTGGGGGTGGGGTGGGGGGGCTGATCTTGGAAGGGGGGTCTGCAGGAAGGACCCCCATGATCCCCGTGGGAATAATCCCCCTTCAAAACGAGATGGGTGGCAAATACATCTCATAATTCCTGGTAGAATATCTGGCTGGCTTTGCAACAGTCCATAATAATTAACAGATTAACAGAGTTGGATGGGACCTTTTAGGTCATCTAGTCCAACCCCCCGCCCAAGCAGGAGACCCTACTCCATTTCTGACAGAAGGCAGTCCAATCTCTTCTTGAAAGCCTCCAGGGATGAAGCTCCCACAACTTCCGAGGGCAAATTCTGTTCCATGGGTGGATTGTTCTCCCCGTCAGAAAATTCCTCCTTATTTCCAGGTTGAATCTCTCTCCTTGGTCAGTTTCCATCCATTCTTCCTTGTCTGGCCTTCGGGTGCCTTGGAGGATAGCTTGACCCCTTCCTCCTCTTCTCTGGGGCAGCCCCTCAAGTATCGGAAGGCTGCTCTCCTGGCTCCCCTGGTCCTTCTCTTCACCAGACCGGCCAGGCCCAGTTCCTGCTACCGTTCACCATAAGTTTTAGTCTCCAGTCCCCTCATCCTCCTGCTCTCCTCTGCATTTTGACTGTCATAATTTTTTTTCTCCAGATTTCTCCGCTAAATCTGGCCCGTTTTGCACCGCTTCCCCTTTGCGGTTCTTCTGAAGCAGCCCCCCCTGCCCCCCCCCCAATGTGGCACCCTGCCTTCTTCCAGGGTGGGAGTGAAAACTAGGAAGTTTCGTTTTCAATTCCTTATTACCAGGGAGCTGAACTAAGCTTCTCCAAAGCCACAAGGCAGTTTTCTGGTTCCTTTTTAGCAAGACTTCTCGCCCAGGGAAACTCAGCGGGGTCTCCAGCTTGTCTTCCTGTTTCCCTCTTGACTGAGCCTGTCTCTCTCTCTCCCCCACCCCCCCGCAAAGGACCCCGATGTGGTGGAGGCGCCCCTGACCTTAAAGCTGCAGGTGACCAAAGCTCCTCACTGCACCATCCGGCCCTCCGGCACTTACGTCTTCGTCTCCGCCCTGCTCAACATCTTCTTGGCCCCCCCAGACCAGCCCCTAATTCTGCTTTCCAGCCTGATTATGGTGAGCCCACCCCCCACCCTGGGGAGCGGTTTCCATCCTCCTGATCGCCTCTGGTGCGGAGCAGGGGGCTTCCTTCTGGGCTGCTTCTGGGGTCCAGAAGATCTGGGGGGGGG